GTCAAACACGACGTCGCGTGAGACAAGCACCTTGTCTCCGCGTGGGTCGTAGAGCCGGTACGCCTTGGTACCCTCCGTGTAGCCCAGGAACACCATGGGTATGCTCCTGTCCTCTAGCTTGGTGAGGTTCGGCTTTGGCTTCCTAACGTGGCCGTTGAAGCTGAATGTCCGGAGGAAGGACACGCTCGGCTTGCGCCCATACCAAGCTTCGAACGGCGTCTTGCCCATCAGGTCTTTGGTCGTAGAGCGGTTGAGGATGAACATCGCCGTGGTCACCGCTCCCCCCAGAACCTTGCCGGCATGCCTTTGGCCTTCATCATGGATCGGGCCATGCCGTCCACCGTCTGGTTCCGTCTCTCCACCACGCCATTCTATTGTGGTGAGTATGGCGCGGTGTGGTGTTGCCCCACACCCTGATCCGCACAGTACGTAATGAATTCCACCGAAGTGAATTCGCCACCGCAATCAGTCCTCAGCACGCGGAGCTTCTTGCCGCTCTCGGCATCCGCGCGTATCTTGAACTTCTTGATCGCCGCCGGCATTAGGTCCTTGCTCGTCAGGAGTTGCAGCCATAGGTAGCGACTGCAATCATCCACGAGCAGGAGGAAGTACCACCGACCACCATTTGTAGCAGGCGTGATCGGCCCACAAAGGTCGCCGTGGACGAGCTCGAGAGCGTCCTTCGCGCGATACTTGGTCGCCTTTGGGAATGGTAGCCTCCTCTGCTTCCCGGCCAGGAAGCTATCACATAGCACGCCTCCGTGCTTGATGTGGGTAGCCCTCGGACCATCTTCTCCAGCCGACCAAGCGCATCGAAGCTGAGATGTCCGAACCGGGCATGCCACATCCACGGTTCCTCGGAGTGCCTTGCCGCCAGGCAAACCGGCTGCTCTACCTTCAGGTCGAGTAGGTATAACTAGTTCAGGGACCTCTTCACCTTGGCAAGAAGTCGCTGCTCCCGGTCCCCGATCCTAAAGACTCCGTCCTTGATCAGTATCTCGCTACCGCGCTCATCCAGCTGACCAATGCTGATGATGCTGGAACGCAACTGCGGGATGTAATATACATCCGTTAGCGCGTGGTGCTCCCGTTCTGACACCTGAAGATGATGGTGCCGCGCCCTTAGATTGCCACCCGTGAGCCGTCACCAAAGTTCACCGTACCGGTAACATCGTCGTCGAGCTCGGAGAAGGATTCCTTGGAGACTGTCATGTGGTTGCTGGCACTAGAGTCCAGATACCACCGCTGCTCCTGGTCGGCGCCCACACGTCCGAGGTGGACTTGGGCATGTGGTTCGTCGAGGCTGATAATCTTTAGGGCCTTCCTAGGTCCTTCCACCGTCGTCGCCTCTTCCCTCTCCTAGGCCACGACGTTGTGCAGTGCACAGAACGTCGCCATCAGGATAGTGGCCTCATCCTCATCATTGGCTTGCGCCAGATGAGCCTGAGCCTTCTTTTCCTGCTTACGGTTTGGGCACTCTCGTGCCCAATGACCCATCTTCCCGCAGCGCCGACAGGCTTTGGGGTCGACCTGCTTCTTCTTCTCCGAAGAAGCCTTGCCGCGGTGCTTGCCATCGCCACCACGGCTGGAGGAGGCCACCTTCATGGAGTTCCTCCGAGCAGCCCACTCCTCTTCCATCAGCAGCAGTTTGTCGCTGTCCTTCGTTGCTGTCACCTGCTCCAAGCGCTCGTCCACTGCCCGAAGACGGCCTGTCACATCCTCAATGGTGAGGGTGGACAAGTCCAACATCGTCTCTATGGAGAGAGCGATCTGGATGTACTTTGCCGACATAGAGTGGAGGTACGTGGAGACTGCCTCTTTTTCGTTGATGGTGACGTTGTGGCTCTTCAGCTTGCTGATGAGCGTATGTAGGCGGAGGGAGAAGTCCTCCATCGTTTCACCATCCTTGAACTTGAGGTTGGCATACTCCTGCTTCAGAACCTGGGCCGTCGCCTTCTTTGCGTAGTCGAAACCGACGCGCATCACCGCAATAGCCTCCCACACCTCCTTAGCAGAGCTCTTCGTCCTCAACGGCTCCCTGTACTCCGCCGGTACAGCAGCGAGGATAGCCTCCAACGCTGACATGTCATCTTGTTCATTGTCGGTGCCCTTGTCAACAGCATTCTAGAGCCGTCGGGCTCTGAGCTTAACCTTCATAGTATGGAGATCATTATTGTTAACCAAAACCAAAGCTGAAATGGATTGTTTGATCCTCATCCAAAACATGCAGTGTAATGTGCGCTGGTTGTTGCGCAGTACATATCAACAACTAGTTTTATCTACTAATAATAAGAATCCATACAAGAGTGCATTCGCGTATCTTGATGATCAGATCACACAAGCAAGCGCTTGCAGACATTTTGTCGGTTGACCAGGCATACCTATGGATGTAAGACGATATATGGGGACTGGCCGGGGTAGCTAGAACGATCCACAAAGAGACGTGCGTTTCATATCTCCTACAACTAAAAAGACTAAAAGTAAGACTATTTTTTGGTGCGACTTTTTTTTGGGTCGCTTCTCCCTTCCGGCCATGCGATACCCCGTGCGATAGAAAAAGAAACTGTCATCCCTGCAATCCCCACCTGCTTTGAAGGAAACAAATCGATCACCTGAGGCCACATGCATGGAAGGAAACAATAATCATGCATGGAAGGAAACAATTGGCAAAGATCAAGCAAGACTCCTCCCTTCCGGCCATGCGATACCCTGCGCTATAGAAAAAGAAACTGTCATCCCTGCGATCCCCGCCTGTATTGAAGGAAACAAATTGATCACCTGAGGCCACATGCATGGAAGGAAACAATTGGCAAAGATCAAGAAGACGACTCAATGAGGTTGGCCCTTAATTTTAGTGTTTTCAGCATGCAAACCTAAAATTAAAAAGTGGCTGCTCCTTGAGAACATCAGTGGTGCCAAATAAAAGATGTGCAGGTTATATATGGTGAGGCTGGTGAACCTTCTGCAATTTCCTGAACGAATATTCCCACCATTCGTATATAGGTCCATTCCCCTGCATTTCTTCGTGCTCCAATTAGCATATAATATAAAAATATTGTTGTGTTCATCACGATTTTCAGTTGACTACTCCCATTAACATATACTTCCTCTGCCCCAAAATATAAGTCGTTACGGGATGTGTGCAGGTTAAACTTTCTCAACTTTGACTAGATTTGTAAAAAATACGTGCAACATTTAACAATCAATTGGTCGACTCCTGAGACCACATGCATGTAAAAAATACCTATATTATAATTGGTCGAAGTTAAAAAAAAGTTAACTTCTCGGAAAGCGAGAATGAATTCTATTTTGGGATAGAGGGAGTATATGAAAGCAGTGTTGAAAATATTTTAACAATCAAGTTCGTCTCTGTCTGATTGGTAAGCTTAGACATCATAATGGCATCAAAAATTTCAACTCTCATGGACACCCTCATGGATCCGTGCAAAGCATCCCAATCCTATAGCATACAGAAATGGCAACATTAAAGACCATCTTAGACGTTCTGGCATTAGAGTATATACGTGCAGACATATAGGCATGGTGGTGCAAGTGAGCAGCCAGCAGGAGTCAAGAGTTAAGGGGTGTTTGATCCAAGGACTAAACTTTAGTCCCTATCACATTGAATTTTTAGATATCAACTAGGAGGATTAAACATGAGCTAATTATAAAACTAATTACATAAGTTGTGGCTAATTCGCTTGCCAGCGCTGTGTATAGGATGATATGGAGATATGGTGGAACTTATTCGTGGATTTGTTGGCGCACGAAAAAAATGGATATTGGAAATCTCTTCCTGCCGGTATAAAAAATGATCTTAGCCGCATCACAAAAAGATCTACATAGTAGAGTTTGTGAGCCTGCGACACCATGCTCTCTGTGACTGTATACATTTTACGAACTTAGCATTTTGGATTAAATGTCACTTTAACGTCGGTCATATATTTTTACAGTATTGTTATCTTATCGTGCGATCCGTGTGTTTTTAGTACAAAAGTTTAACAGTCCCGTAGCAACACACGAGCACGAACCTATTTACATATATACTCGAACATGTGTATACGTGATTATATGGAGATGCAGTGGAACTTATTCATGGATTTATTGACGCATGAAAGAAATGATATCGTAGAATTCTTTCTGCCGATATAAAATATTATCTTAGCCGTATCATGAAAAAGTCTATGCAGTAGAGTTTGTGAGCCTGCGACGTCGCGCTCTCCGTGACTGTGTTAATTTCACGAACTTTGTTTTTTGAATTAAATATCACTTTGATGTCGGTATTTAATTTAACAATATTATTATCTTATCATGCGATCCGTATGTTTTTAGTACAAAAGATTCTTGTTGTCCCGTAGCGACGCACGGACACGCTGCCTTGTGTCCGTTAAAAATTCAGGGCAATACATGTTCAGAGCCACGAATTAATGCGGCCGGGATTGTCTACTATGTTTTTTTTAAAGGACGGCCGGGATTGTCTAGTATTTTTTTTGAAAGGACGGCCGGGATTGTCTTACCATCGATCGAATTCCCACGAAACACGCAACACGACAATTCTTTTCAAAAAAAAACCCCCGACAATTTATTAGGAGCTTGGCAGTTGATCTTTTCCCTAGTTTTCTTGACATATAAACGTAGATGCCGTCGACGACTAGACGATGGAGACGCAGTTTATACATGCACGCTTGGTCAACTTGTTCGGAGCGAGCTAAGCGCGGGTGCTGCCGCTACCTCCTTGGCGTGATATAAGCCCGGGAGACGCGACCAAACCTCTCCAGTAATCCCGCTGTCTGCTCTGCTCTCTCGATCTCCTTCCTTTGCATTCTGTGATTCTGTCGCCTCCGGCCTCCCTCTCCCACTTGATCATCCACCATAAATAGCTCGTGCCGGACGGGCAGCCGTGCAGGTGAAGGTGAAGGTAGCCGCACGTTGCGAAGCTAGCTAGCTAGGAAAGGGCCGACCGGGACGATCAGGACAGAACGAGGGCGCCGATCGAAGCGATGGGGCGGCCGCCGTGCTGCGACAAGACGAGGGTGAAGCGGGGCCCGTGGTCGCAGGAGGAGGACGCCATCCTCAGGAGCTTCGTCCAGAGGTTCGGCAATGCCGGCAATTGGATCGCCCTGCCGCAGAAAGCAGGTAATAACCTGCACTACAGAAAGTCAGAAACTAGCTTGCCTCGGTTTATTTTCTAGTCTTTTGCTTTTCTCTTTTTTACCACCACCACCAAGAACCATCTATCGCTTTCCGCATGAATGCAAGTGCAAACATCAGTGGAGTTGGTGGCGCACGGTACTAGTCAAAGGCTTCAGTTTGGTCCATTTAGGTTTTCTATAAGCTGCGGTTTGGTGGAATAATTCTCTTTGATCTGTGAATCGTCATCTCTGGTTAGGTTGACGAAGCGTAGTTTAACTGACCCTACGTATGCAAGCAAGCTTACGATTGAGATACTCAATTACAGTACTCGTTAATTTGATTATTGTCTCGTACGTACGTCAGGGCTGAAACGATGCGGTAAGAGCTGCCGTCTTCGCTGGCTCAACTACCTCCGCCCGGAGCTCCGACACGGCGGCTTCACCGACGAGGAAGAGAACCTCATCCTGTCCCTCTACGGCGAGCTTGGAAGCAAGTACGCATTCATGCATTACCTATCTATGGGCTAACGTTAAAAACAGACCATGGATGAGATGAGAGGCATGCATGCCTAACATCTAACTGCATGCATGCGCATGCACGTACAGGTGGTCGGTGATAGCGTCCAGGCTCCCAGTCCCCGGACGGACGGACAACGACGTCAAGAACTACTGGAACACCAAGCTCAAGAAGAGGTACCTGGCGTCCACAAGAGAAGCAGGAAGGCCGCCGACATCACCACCAGCGGCGCCTCCTAGCGGCGATGATAGCACCGCCGCCACAGACAGCCACCAGGCCCAAGAGGATGAATCCCTTCTTCCGCTGACACCTCCAGCCCTCACCGATCTCGATACGGCAGCGTTTGTTGACACGGGTGCTGCCGTCGTCGACGACGACATGCTCCACTTCAAGTCCGAGCAGCTGTACGCCGAGCTCGTGGGTCTCGTCGAGAAGCAATCGCAAACTGGACCGTCCACTGGCGGGGACGAAGCGTCGACAGCAGCGACGACGCCATCGTCGTCCTCGTCTGGAACAACAAGCAGCTGTCCGACGGTTAGCAGCTCAGGTAGCTGCACCTGGTGGCCCATGGACGTGCATGACACAACGCTGCTGTCCGAACCCACCACCGGCCTGTTCGACGCTTACGGTGTTGGTGACGCGTTCGGAGCGGCGGCTCTGCCTGCGTACTCCTTCGTCCAAGACCTGCTGGCCTCATCTTACGACGATGTTACTGCTGCGGTGGCGCAGGATTTGCTGTACTACCAGTAGTGCTAAAGGCAGCATGCATGGCTTGGTCAACTTGGTTACTAGCTCCTTATCGAAAAAAAAACTTGGTTACTAGCTACAGTTAGTAGGTGCTAGGCAGTGGTTACTGGTTAGACGATCGATGATGACGAGAAGAGACGTCATGATGTCCGTGCATACACTCCCAGACTCCATTGGTCCTTCCTGTCAAGATTACTTGTCGAGAGCAGAAAGCAAATGTTCACCAATTAAAACTTGATTTGTCTCCACTCGAGAAGGCCGAGGTCCTGTCCACGTGGAAAGATTGAATATAGAACCTCTCGATATTCATATTCGACCAATAAAGAAACATTTCAGAACAAAAAGAAAACTCTCCAAAAATTTGCATGGGCAAAACTCAAAAACTAGGTGAACCTAAAGGTTTCCGGAGCTCACAGAGCCTCCACTCTTGGAAAACACCGGAGCACTGGATAGTTGCAGATTTGCACTATAGAACCCACTGAGGGTTAATTAACCTGATTTGTTTGCAACCACGTTAGACCACATCTTCATTTTTGTTGTAGTCGTCCAATCTTAAATAGCCATCTAGCTAGATCGTGCCCATCCATTCTTTGTTTGTTTTCCCTTTCTCCACTTCTCCGTCGCGTGCCCTAGCTCGTGGCCCACGGCTTCTCAACGAAACCATCACGCTACTCCATCTCCCATATATATATACGTGGTGCCCACCATTGATGCTTTGAGAAACTATCATCTACATGTATAGCAAAGTACTCCCTCCTCTGAAATCAAACTTTTTTAAGTACTCGATCCCTCTATCTTTGAATAAATCGGTTCCTAAAGTGATCCTCCATGACCATTGACCAGCCAGACTGTGACCTACAATAGGTGGCGTATCCATCATCCAGACTTGGGGTCTGCAACTGCAGCTAGACCATTCTGCTAGCCTACCCCTCAAGCACCCTTTCAGAGTTTGTAACCAAAGACCAAACCTGATATTAACATTAAGGGCAAGTTTGGTAGCGCTCCTAGAACTAGTCCGCTTTGCTCCACACACAATCTCCGCTCTCTCGAGCCGGATAAGATACATGAAGCCCCCAAAAGTAGCTTTGCTCGGCTGCTCATCCGTGCGCCTAGGTCTTCTCCAAAACGCCCCTATGTGGGCAAAGGCATCGGGGTGCGGGGGCGAGCCAACGAGGAGTGGGGCCGCTGGGGAGCCGGGGCACCTGATGGAGGAAGCTTTGGACGGTGGAGGAAACCGGAGCACCGAGATCGAGCAGCCTCAAGCAAGAAACCTGCCGACGTTTTGACGCTCCCCTCTTTCATGCCTGGCAAAGCCAAGAGCCGGCACCTACGTTGTAACGGAATTCTACGTGTAACATACCTAGCTACGGCCTTCCGGTAATCCAGAAGGCAGCATAGGCACAGCACAATGCATGTGGATGGATGGCAACCAATTTCATTTCCCATGGCCGATCATTGTTTCGTTGTCTGGTCGGCAACGGCAAGGGCATTTTCATTCATGGCCGGGCGAGGCGTGTTCTTGAGAACGAATGGCCGCAGCTCCAGGCCTGCAGCCACAACACAAGCCCCGATACGTGAAGGGTAGGGATGAAATCAGATCGGAGCGGAGCGGATAGTGGCTTTCCCATATCCTAATCTATTTTATTTTATCGGATTCGGAGCGGATCGGATATTTTACGGATTCGAATGCGAATACGGACTTTTTAGGACGTCGGAAATGGTACGGATTCAGACCGGTGTCAGAGCTGAAGCGGACTTTTTTTAAGTCAGATAATATGGTACATGTTGTTTTTTATTATGAGAAACAATTCATTAACCAAAATCATAAAGCGGTATACAACTCGAGATAATCACCATCAATCCACAACTTCGATTTAAGAGCTCACAAAATTAAAACAAGTTCTCAGTTTAGATTTAAGAGTATAAAACAAGTCGTGCAAAAATAATAAATATTCTTAATTAGTATATATAGTTGCCGCCAATCAGGCACATAGGCAATCACTAGGATTACCATTCCATGTTGTGTGAATTAAACCCTATAATTGATGAGCTTTGTTTGTAGGCTACAATATAATAATGGGATGGTGTCGGTGCGGGACCCACAGGATACCCCGCAAGGAAGAGAGAAGATCTAGTCTAACTAGGATTCTCCCCATGTAATCTTAGTAGTATTATTATTCTATAATCCTACTAAGAACTCTCATTGTAAACCGACTAGGATTCTGACCTCCTGACTATATAAAGAAGAGCAGGATCCTAGAGATCAGGACTTTGGTAACAACGCAACAACACATAAACAATACAACGCAGACTATTCTATTTCCGCATAAGCCGAAGCCCGAACATACTGTCCCGGGTAACCCCGTGACAGGCTATCGGTGGTAAAACATCGACAGCTGGCGCGCCAGGTAGGGGCTTTCGGTGAATTTGCATCCAAGAGCTCGATGGACCTCGACAGCATGATCTTCTCGACGAGATCAACTTTCATCTTCGGATAATGGATATGCGAGGCGGACGACAATGGCAAGCTCCAAAGCCGTCTCCTCGAAGATTCGAATCACCATGAATACTATTCTATTTTGGCGACTACGACAGATCAAATCACCGAAAGATTCGCGCAGCTCATGATGTCTGATTCAACTTAGGTTTCGCGGCTTTGCGCATCCGACTCGAACTCAGGCTCCGCATCCGAGATAGAGTCTTATCCGAGTTCTTTCGGGAAACCGAGTTCTTTTCCGATGGGGCTTAAGAACGCGGCCCTGACCTACCAAGAATACAACTCGGAGTATACGCAGAATCTTTTCAAGAAGTCAGATCCTTTTCCGCTCGGACTCCACAACATGGCAACATCTTATCAGACACGGCCCGGAGGATTCCTCGATCCGGTGCTTAGAATGCCATTGAAGGGAGCTCAGGAAGGTCTCGTACTAACTATAACATCTCAAGAGTGCATCGTCCACTGGTCGGGCTCTGTTCCTGAGGATAGCAGTACCCGATTGGTCGACACGATGACAACGGCAATTCTACCCTACCAAAAAGGAGACTCGATCTGCGACCTCGAGACCTCTACTAAAGTTATCAGCAACTCCGACAGTGTGGAAACTAACGCCAATAACAGAACAGTTCACGCACGGGAAGTACTCATGGTTCGCTGTCCTCGATCACCATTGGTCCCCCCAGAAGCGCCCGATGTCAGGTCATCGGATGAATCAGAATCCAACATATCACCCTTTGCCCAGGGCTACGACGGTGAGACCGAGAATCAGAAACAAGCCAAAGAAAGAAAAAACAAGTTGAAGCAAGGACGCCAACACCGTGCTAGGCAGCGTAAGGAAGCTTGGATCAGATACGAGTCAGAGTTGGCCGAGTACGACAGAAGAAAATCACAACGAGAAGTCGAAGAAAGACGCACGGCAAGTACGCCCTATGATAAGATCCGAGAAGCATTAGAAGAACTCAGAGCGACCTCACATCCCAGTGAAAAACAAGAACAGCTCCGGGACTTTCTCCAGTCAGCAGCCCTGAGGATGCATGAAGAAAGGACCCACTCAAGACTACCCGCCAGATCAACGACCCATAGGCAAGAAGATCAAAATCAAAGAAAGTCCGCTTTCGAGAGACTTGGACCAAGTGAAAGTCATAACAGAGAAAGTAGAAGGGACCATAGTCAGAGCCACCGAGTTGAACAACCAAGAAAGACCAGAAGCAGAGCGCCTGCCCAGACAGCCTCGCAGGATTAC